TGCCCCTATATAAATCAATGGTGAGACCTCATTTGGAATACTGTGTGCAGTTCTGGGCACCACACCTTAAAAAGGATATTATAGCTTTGGAAAAAGTGCAGAAAAGGGCAACTCGAATGATAAAAGGGTTGGAACACTTTCCCTATGAGGAAAGGTTAAAGCGCTTAGGGCTCTTTAGCTTGGAGAAAAGACGACTGAGGGGTGACATGATCGAGGTTTATAAGATTATGCATGGGAAAGAGCAGGTAAAGAAAGAGGTACTTTTCTCCCTTTCTCACAATACAAGAACTCGTGGGCACTCCATGAAACTGCAGAGCGGTCGGGTTAGAACGGATAAAAGGAAGTACTTCTTCACCCAAAGAGTGATTAACACATGGAATTCACTGCCACAGGAAGTGGTGGGTGCTACAAGCATGGACGGCTTCAAAAGGGAATTAGATAAGCATATGGAGCAGAGGTCCATCAGTGGCTATTAGCCACAAGGTATAGCTAGGGGCTCTGGGGCAAGTGATGCTCTGTCTTCTTGGTGCTTGGGGGGGGTCAACAGTGGGAGGGCTTCTAATGTCCTGGCCCCACTGCTGGACCTCCTGATGGCACTGGTATTTCTGGCCACTGTGTGACACAGAGTGTTGGACTGGATGGGCCTTTGGCCTGATCCAACATTGGCGTCTCTTATGTTCTATGTTCTTATGTTCTCCCGCTTCCCATGAGCAGCAGTGACTTCACTTGCTTTTTCTCTCTCTCTGCCAAAGAGGTTTGACTGGGGTGTCCACTTCAGCATGAATTTCACCATCAAGGAGACCGGCTGTCAGAAGACGATGACCAGCTACAAGCCTGGAGAATGCAAATACAAGCCTAGCGGGGTAAGTGAAGGGACGGACGGCCTCCTGGTCGCCAAGGATGGATGGATGGAGGGGAAGGGAACGGAGTTTGTCAGCTGCTCTGAGCAATGCTCCCCCTAAGCTGTGGAGACTTGTGAGCAAAAATTCTACTTTGTGAGCTACTGGCAATAAAGTTGTGAGTGAGCGATTTGGCTGCTGCATAAATAAGTTTGGTCGTCTGGACCCATCTTTCCTGAGCTAAGACAAAAATGTGAGAGCCGGAGGCTAAAGAACTGTGAGCTGGCTCACACCAGCTCAGCTTAGAGGGAACACTGGCTCTGAGACTCCTTTGGTTAGTGAAGGGCGGGGTATATATCCAATCTTTCTTCTTCTTTGTACACTGGAGAGCCAGTTTGGTGTAGTGGTTAGGAGCGCGGACTCTAGTCTGGGAGAACCGGGTTTGATTCCCCACTCCTCCACTTGCACCTGGCTGGATGACCTTGGGCAAGCCGTGGTTCTGATAAGAGCTGCTCTTGAAAAAGAGCCCTTTCTGTCAGAGCCCCGCCTACCTCACAGGTTGTCTGTTGTGGGGAGGAGAAGGAAAAGGAGTGTCAGCCGCTCTGAGACTCCCTTGGGTAGTGAAGGGCGGGGTATATATCCAATCTTTCTTCTTCTTTGTACACTGGAGAGCCAGTTTGGTGTAGTGGTTAGGAGCGTGGACTCTAGTCTGGGAGAACCGGGTTTGATTCCCCACTCCTCCACTTGCAGCTGCTGGATGACCTTGGGAAAGACATAGTTCTGTCAGAGCTGTTCTCTCATGGGCAGTTCTTGAAAGAGCTCTCTCAGCCCTACCTACCTCACAGGGTGTTTGTTGTGGGGAGGGGAAGGGAAAGGAGTTTGTAAGCCGCTCTGAGACGCCGAGTGAAGGACGGGGTATAAATCCAATCTCTTCATCATGATCATCTCTAAAGGAGCAGGCAAAAAAGTTGCAATTATAAATGAAAGGGAGAAATGAGCCGTGCGGGGAAGCAACGCTCCCTCTAAGCTGTGGAGTCCTGTGAGCAAAAATTCTACTTTGTGAGCTGCTGGCATTAAAGTTGTGAGCGAGGGATTTGGCTGCTGCATAACTTAGTCTGCTCTGGAGCCCTCCTTCCTGAGCTAAAGCAAAGATGTGTGAGCCGCAGGTTAAAAAACGGTGAGCTGGCTCACACTAACTCAGCTTAGAGGGAACACAGCTGGGAAGTAACTGAAGGGGTTCAGTTGGCTGCTGTAGCTCTGCCTTAAATGCAGTTTGAGAAGTGTAGATGCTCTTAGGTGGCCCTGTTCATCTCGGGACGAACTTCAGCTGTTGATTTCTGCAGATCAAACATCTGCTAAAGGCACAAAAGTGGGTGAGGCTGAAAGTTTTCTGATCAGTTGGCAATGCTAAGAGGCCCAGTGGGATCTTGGGCGGCAAAAGGTGGGGAAGGCAGAGCGCATGCTTCGAATGGGTGGGCCTAATTTTCAAGTCTCTCTTCCCAGGCCATAAAGGAGTGTTCGGCCGAGGTTTCCTTCCTTAACTTCATGCAAGATACACCCCTGACGTCTGTCCAATGCACTCCCGTGCAGGTGAGTTGTTACGTGGGAAAGGGTTGCCAAGCTGGGAAATTCTTGGAGATTTGAGGGTGCAGCCTAGGGAGGGCAGAGTTAACATAAGGACCATCAAAGAGCCCTGCTGGATCAGGCCAGGGAGGGTCCATCTAGTCCAGCATCCTGTCTCACACAGGGGCCAGCCAGTTCCTCTGGAGGGCCAGCAACAGGGCAGAGAGGCCGAGGCCTTCCCCTGAGAAGAACCTCAAAAGAGCCCTGCTGGGTCAGACCAATGAGGGTCCATCCAGTCCAGCACCCTGTCTCACACAGTGGCCAGCCAGTTCCTCTGCATGGCCAACTGCAGAGCAGAGAGACCCAGGCCTTCCCCTGAGAAGAACATCAGAAGAGCCCTGCTGGATCGGACCAGGGAGGGTCCCTCTAGTCCAGCCTCCCATCTCACACAGGGGCCAACCAGTTCCTCTGGAGGGCCAACAACAGGGCATGGAGGCCGAGGCCTTCCTCTGATAAGAGCATCAGAAGATCCCTGCTGGGTCAGACCAGTGAGGGTCCGTCTAGTCCAGCCTCCTGTCTCACACAGGGGCCAGCCAGTTCCTCTGGAGGGCCAACAACAGGGCAGAGAGGCCAAGGCCTTCTCCTGAGAAGAACATCAGAAGAGCCCTGCTGGGTCAGACCAGGGAGGGTCCACCTAGTCCAGCCCTTCCCATGACAAGAACATCAGAAGAGCCAGCCAGTTCCTCTGGAGGGCCAACGACAGGGCAGAGAGGCCGAGGCCTTCCCCTGATAAAGGGAAGTGTATTAGGCTGCTTTGGACTGCTTGTATTTAATTGGTTTGTAATCATATATTTATTGTTTTATCTCTGTTGTGAGCCGCCCTGAACCCATCGTGGGATAGGACGGAGTAGAAATGCAATCAATCAACATATCTGTTGATATGCTCTTTGCATGTGCCGGCACGTGCACATGGTTAAATAGACCTTGAGCATGAGTTAATTTTGAACAGAGTTTGAATTTAGGTTTGAATTTAGGGATCGAGAAGCAGCCTTGAATCAGACCAGGGTGGGAGAGATTTACGTCTCCTTCCAGAAGGTGGTGCTGTGAGTCACACGTCCTGTCCTGGCCTAGAAACAGTGAGATTTGCTGTAGGGAAGGTCACTGCTCAGGCCTGGAATATCACGAATTAAGCAGACGCGAAAGTGCCTCTGAGCATATGCAGAGGGCCTTTGCCTCCCCACGAATGCTGGGTTCACACGTGCCACAAAGACGAGACGGCAGAGAGCCCTGAGCTTGGGAATGGACTGTACCACTTCAGATATTGTGTTTCAACTTCTAAAGTTTACCTGCGTTAAAAAAAAAAAAATCCAGGCAAACGGAGTGGCAGCCCAGCAGGAAGAGGGTCTGTACCACCCATACATAGGGTTGCCAACTCCAGGTGGGGCCTGGAGATCTCCTGGAATTCCAGCAGCTCTCCGGATGACAGAAATCAGCTCCTACGGGTTCTATCCCCTAAATCGCCACGGATTTCCACACCTGGAGTGTGCAGGCCTACACCTTGCTTGCAGTCAGTGTTCCCTCTCTGCTTCTTCTCCTCCTCCTCCTCTCTTCTTCTTCTTCTTCTGTGTAGTGGTTAAGTGCGCGGACTCTAATCTGGGAGAACCGGGTTTGATTCCCCACTCCTCCACTTGCACCTGCTGATGTGACCTTGGGCAAGCAGCCCAATCCAATCTCTTCTTCTTCTCCTTCTCCTCCTCCTCCCCCTCCTTCTCCTCCTTCTTCACAACAGGGAATCCCAGAACATGAGAGAAGGCATGCTGGATCAGGCCAGTGGCCCATCCAAACCAACGCTCTGTGTCACACACTGGCCAAGACCCAGGGGCCATCGGGAGTCCCAGCCATTCCTGCCCCACAGCACCCCCACATTAAACAATGAGCAGAGGCAAGAGAAGTTGTTAACCTTTTTTTGTTCTCTCCCCATCTCAGCGGGGCAGTGGCGGGAAGTCCAGATCCCCGCCCAGACCCCAGACGGTGCCAGTTGTGCCCAGGATACACGTGGAACATTACATGCCATCTGCCTACATTACTGCAGCTCAGATGAAAATAGAGGTCGAGTGAGGGGCGACGCCAAGGGCCTGCCCGCCAAAGGTCTTTCTTGGAGCCAGAGGCCTCGTCTGCGCAACCAGGGTAGCGCAGGACGCTCGCTGGAAAGACCCCTGGTGCCTTATTTGCCTAGCAGAATGTTATCTTCCGCTTCTTGTATCCACGTGTCTTCCGCCGTCCGGCGCAGGCCTCCGCGTTTCGTGTTGCTTCGCTTTGCTTTTTTGGCCTGAGTTTGTGCACGCTCCTGAATTGCAGCATAATCCCCTTTTTGAAACCCCTGCGGATGTTTCGCAATGCATGCGCAATGGTTTGCTTCTCGTGGTTGCGGCGGCCTGCGTTTCAAAACATCCCTGTCGAAGGTGACCGGGTCAGCAAATCTCGCTGCCTGGCTTGGCTCTTTTGTTTCTGCTTTGTAATGTCACCGGCTTGCTTTAGGGATTACAAACTTATAGCTGCCGGCTGGTGACTCCTTGGTAAGGCCAGTTACTGGTTAGTTATCCAGGGTGGCTGGTCACTGTTTCAGTGGTCTGCCTGCAATCTTGTAAATAAAGCGTGCATTCTTAGGAATCTGTATGCTTCTACTGTGGTTTTTCCTCCCCCGCATTCAGAAGCACCTGGTAGCATTGCCCCTGGAACTCCTTGATACTTGAGGAAGGGGGCGTGGGCAACACATTACACCCTGCATCGGGTGTTCCAAGGTTCATAGGATCAGCTCTTTAAAACTCAAAGGGAAGCACGGGATGAACCACAGAGCTCATAGTTTTAGAGTTCCCGACTCTGGGTTGGGTGATTCCTGGATATTTGGGGGTGGCACCTGGGGAGGGCCGGTTTGGAGAGGGGGAGGACCTCCAGAACAGCCATTTCATCCAGGGGAACTGATACCTGTTGTCTAGATGTCCATTATAGTTCCGGGATATCTCTAAGCCCCATAAGAACATCAGAAGGGCCCTGCTGGATCAGACTACTGGTCCGTGTAGTCCAGAATCCCGTCTCACACAGTGGCCAGCCAGTTCCTACAGAGGGCCGACAACAGGGCAAAGAGGCCGAGGCCTTCTGTCAATAAGAACGTCAGAAGAGCCCTACTGGATCAGACCAGGGAGGGTCCATCTAGTCCAGCCTCCTGTCCCACACAGGGGCCAGCCAGTTCCTCCGGAGGGCCATCAACAGGGCAGAGAGGTTGAGGCCTTCTTTTGATAAGAACCTAAGAGCCCTGCTGGATCAGACCAGGGAGGGTCCATCTAGTCCGGCCTCCTGTCTCACACAGTGGCCAACCAGTTCCTGTGGAGGGCCAACAACAGGGCATGGAGGCCGAGGCCTTCCCCTGAGAAGAACCTCAGAAGAGCCCTGCTGGGTCAGACCACGAAGGGTCCATCCAGTCCAGCATCCCGTCTCACACAGTGGCCACCAGTTCCTGTGGAGGGCCAACAACAGGGCATGGAGGCCGAGGCCTTCCCCTGAGAAGAACCTCAGAAGAGCTGTGCTAGGTCAGACCACGAAGGGTCCATCCAGTCCAGCATCCCGTCTCACACAGTGGCCAGCCAGTTCCCCTGGAGGGCCAACAACAGGGCATAGAGGCTGAGGCCTTCCCCTGATAAAAACATCAGAAGAGCCCTGCTGGATCAGACCAGTGAGGGTCCATCTAGTCCAGACTCCAATCTCACACAGTGGCCAACCAGTTCCTCTGGAGGGCCAACAACAGGGCAGAGAGGCCGAGGCCTTCCCCTGGTAAGAACGTCAGAAGAGCCCTGCTGGATCAGACCAGTGAGGGTCCATCTTGTCCAGCCTCCTGTCCCACACAGGGGCCAGCCAGTTCCTCCGGAGGGCCATCAACAGGGCAGAGAGGTTGAGGCCTTCTTTTGATAAGAACCTAAGAAGAGCCCTGCTGGGTCAGACCAGGGAGGGTCCATGTAGTCCAGCCTCCTGTCTCACACAGTGGCCAACCAGTTCCTGTGGAGGGCCAACATACAGGGCATGGAGGCCGAGGCCTTCCCCTGATAAGAACCTCAGAAGAGCCCTGCTGGGTCAGACCACGAAGGGTCCATCCAGTCCAGCATCCCGTCTCACACAGGGGCCAGCCAGTTCCTCTGGAGGGCCAACAACAGGGCAGAGAGGCCGAGGCCTTCCCCTGATAAGGATACCAGAAGAGCCCTGCTGGGTCAGACCAGGGAGGGTCCATCTAGTCCAGCATCCCGTCTCACACAGGGGCCAGCCAGTTCCTCTGAAGGGCCAGCAACAGGGCAGAGAGGCCGAGGCCTTCCCCTGAGAAGAACACCAGAAGAGCCCTGCTGGGTCAGACCATCTAGTCCAGCCTCCTCTCTCACACATCCTCGAAATTAATACCTCTCAGAATGTCTGCTTCAATTGTTAATATACACAGTGAGTTGAGTCTTTCTTGTAGCACAACTGGTCTGTTTGGGTTTTTTACATGTTTTACACGTTTCAGTTGTGAGAAAAAACTACAAATCTTCATTCTTTTTCTTCTTTTTCTTTTCACCCTTTTCCCAACTTTGTGGTGCCCCCTTTGGCCCTGGTGCCCTAAGCACGTGCTTAGTCTGCTTAATGGTTAATCCGGCCCTGCCATCAGGGTCAGTCTTGTCTACTCAGACCGGCAGAAGCTTTCCAGGGTCTCAGGCAGAGGTCTTTCCCATCACCTCCTGCCTGGTCCTTCTCACTGGAGATGCCGGGAATTGAACCTGGGACTTTGTGTACACGGAGCAGGTGCTCTCCCACTGAGCCACGGCCCCTCCCCTAAACCAGCCTGCCCCTAACATCGCCTACCCCACGCCACTGGGGTTCCATTAGGAAACATTTGAGGAAGAATGGAATGGGGTTCTCAAGAGAGAGACGCGGGGCCTGAGTGTGTCAGCTTCCGGGGCTGGAAGGCCCAGTTCTGCAGCGGTTCTGGCCCTACTTGAAGGGCAGGTTTCAGAGTATGGGGCTTGGGGACGGCTGCTCTGCCCCTTGGCCTCTGGGGTTCCCCACGGTTCTGTCTTCTGCCCCACATGCTTCTCATCATCTACGTAAAGCTGCTGGAAAAGGTCATCCGGAGATCTGGGCTGAGTGGCCACCAGTATGAAGATGATGCTCAGTTGTATCTCGCGCTACTAGCAGATCCCAGGATGGCTGTGGAAACGGTGAACAGTGGGAGAGCACCTGCTCCGTGTACACAAAGTCCAAGAAAGAAAGAAAGAAGGAAGGAAGGAAGGAAGGAAGGAAGGAAGGAAGGAGGGAAGGAGGGAAGGAGGGAAGGAGGGAAGGAGGGAAAGAAGGAGGGAAAGAAGGAGGGAAAAATGGAGGGGAAATGGAGGAAAAGAAAGAAAAACTAAGGAAAGAAAGAGGGAAATAAACAGGAAGAGAAGGAAATAAAAAGGGAAAGAAGGAGAGAAGGAAAGTAGGCAAGAAAAGAAAGAAAGAAAGAAAGAGAGAAGAAAAGAAGGAGGGAATGAGGGAAAGGAGAGAAGGAAAGAAAGGGGGAAAGAGAAAGAAGCAAAAAAGAGGGAAAGAAAGAAATCAAAGGAAAGAAGGAGGGAAAGAAAGAAAGAGGGCAAAGAGATGGGGAGGGTGGGAGTCTTTGTACGGCGCTCCGGAGGCCTTCCCCGGGCCCTGCGCCTCGGTATAGGCCGGGGAAGGTGGGGTGGGGCACTCCAGAGGACTTCCCCAAGCCCTGCGCCTCCGTGCAGGCCGAGGAAGATGAGCTGGGGGATGCTCTGCAATTTACCTGGCTGCTTCTTGCTCCTCATGGCCCGACTGAGGGCTGCTGGGAGCAGGGGGTGGGGCTTGTTGCATGTGCCCGCCCCCTGGGCTCTTTACTGCCGAAGCTCCACTCCTGTGCGCTCCTGCAGGAAATGACCCCTGCCCCTTGTCACAGTTATTGGCTGTCCTCTCACATTTTGGTGTGTTTATATGCTTTTGATGGATGGATGGATGGATGGATGGATGGATGGATGGATGGATCGATGGATGGATGGATGGATGGATCGATGGATGGATGGATGATTGTAAATGCTGTTTTAATATTGACATGCTTTGCCATTTTGATATTAACTGCTTACTTGTTGGGCAGAAAGGCAGCCCAGAAAGCCAGTCCCAGTAAAATCCCAAGGCAGTATGGCTAAGATAACCAACTCAGCAGGGGTCATTTTGTAGAAAAAGAGCTAGGGGAACCCATTAGCATCGCTCATTAGCATATGCCACACCCCCTGACATCAGGGGCCCGGCGGTGGACCTGCAAGGCCGGCAGGAGTGCGAGGAAGCCCCGCCAAGGCCCTCCCTGGCCCCAGGCAGGCAGGGGTGGGGAGAGGCAGGGAGGAAGCAACTTACCCTCCCTCTTCTCCTGCCTCCTCCTGGCTGAATGAGGGCTGGAAGCGGGGTGGCCGGAAGCAGGGGGCGGGGCTTCGTGTGCCCCGCCCCCCGCACCTCACCCGGGGGAACTGCGATCCCCCACGTTCCCCCCAAAATGACCTCTGCAACTCAGTCAATAAACCTTCATCCAACTCGACTCTCCTCTTGAAATTTGTGACAACATGGTACCCAGTTGTATCCTATCTACAAACTCAGGAAATACTCCCTCCAAACCTACTGTACCACAGGCGGCTTACCCTGTAAGACCACACTCTTTAATACCCACTCACTCTCTAACCACTTTAGTAACAGTAATCTGCACACAGTGCTTTAGTTAGAACTGCTTCTTGTCAGTCCAACGCTCCCTCTAAGCTGTGGAGTCTTGTGAGCCAAACTCCTACTTGGTGAGCTCCGGGCATTAAAGCTGTGAGCCAGCGATTGGGATGCTGCATAAATCATTTTGCTCTGGAGCCCCATCCTTCCTGAGCTGAGACAAAAATGTGTGAGCCGGAGGCTAAAAACCTGTGAGCTGGCTCACCCTAACTCAGCTTAGAAGGAACACTGCTTGGCACCACTTGTTATTTTGCTGTATAGACGTACTATATATTGGACTATGTTTGAAAAGTACGCAGACGGAGAGTGATTTCAGCAAAGCATACTTTATTCGATCAGGAACAAGACGACCTGGGCCGGCTCGCAGCCAGCTTATATCCCCCGAGAAACCGCCACCCAAAACACACCCCTACTACCTAATAGGTTATTTACAGTGGCCGAGAGTCCCATAGGCTCTCGGCCGGGAACCTAGCCCCCTGATTGGAGCAGGCTAGGATCCACATAGTCTATTGTTTCTTGGAGCGAAGCTCGACGTTTGGGTCTGACCACGTGGAGCCCAAGCCGGCCATGCGGTCTGGACTGGATACATTACAATGTTGTATGTTAATTGGAAAATAAAAAAATAATTAAGAAAAAGAAGAAGAAGAAGAAGGAAGAGCCCAATCATTTATTGCGAAGGGAGAGTGTACAATGGAAGGAAACGGGGGGAAGGGTTTCGGCAAGATCCGCACAGCGTTAAGCAATGGCTCAGAAAGCGACTTCCCTCTGCGAGCGGCATCAGCGGTGAGAGACGGAGACTCTGCTGGGAGCCCCTCGGCCTGCTCCGTGACCAGCCCCCGGCACCGACTCCACCTCCTTGGCACTGCCCATTCAGGCGCTTTGTACAATATGCTTCCTGCGGTTGGGCACGCTCGCAATGACTGACCATCCTCCAGGCACCGGTTTCTTGATCCTACAGCGCCGGCCGCATTTTCCTCGACCCCTTGTCCTTCTCACTTTCCGATTGGCCCTCCTGACACGGATGTGCTAGAGAGAAGGAGAGAGGAGAGAGAATCAGATAAAAACAGGAGGACCCCCTTTCCTGGGTTTATGCTTGTAAATACAAAATAGGGTTGCCAGGGGTTGGGGGGGTAGAGGTGCCAACTCCAGGTCGGGAGACTCCTGGAGATTTGGGGGTGGAGCCTGGGGAGCACAGGGACTTCAATGGGGTACGATGGCCCAGAGTCCACCCTCCTGCGGCAGCCATTTTCTCCAGGGGAACTGATCTCTGTAGTCTGGAGATGAGCTGTAATTCCAGGGGAGGGGGTGTCCCCAGGTCCCCCATGGAGGCTGGCATCCTGAGCAGGAAAGAAGAGAAGGAGCTCTGGTGGATCAGATCCAGGGCTATTTTTGGGCAGCAACGCACAGGAACAGAGTTCCGGCTGGCTCCCAAGTTGGCCACACCCAGCAGGAACTCATTAGCATAATAGGCCACACCCAACAGCAGGAACTCATTAGGATTGGCTACATTAGGGGTGTGTGGCCTAACATGCAAAGGAGTTCCTGCTACAAAAAAAGGCCCTGGGTTTTGACAACAAACAAGGTAAACAGAATAAGGAGCAAAAGGTGGGTGTGGCTGGATGACCACACTTCTGGTAACACGTGGGTGCGGCCTAATATGCTAATGAGCTGTGCTGTCAGGGGTGTGGCCCAATATGCTAATGAGTTTCTGCTGTTAGGTGTGGCCTATTATGCTAATGAGTTCCTGCTGGGCTTTTTCTACAAAAAAAACCCCTGATCAGATTGAAGGTCCATCTATTCTAGGGGGCCCCTACCTTTTTGAGCCTGTGGGCACCTTTGGGATGCCGACATCGTGTGGCGGGTGTAGCCCCAAAATGGCTGCCGCAGGAGGTGGAGACAGTCACAAAATGGCTGCCGCCGCTCACCTTTCGTCACACAGTGGATATCGTTGTGCTGTGGTGGCAGCGGCTGCCAAAGCAACCTCTTAACCATTCGGCACAGTCAATCAGATCTCCAACGGCCAATCAGAAGCCTTGCTGGACGAAAGGACCGCCTACATTCTAGAAACACTGGGTGGGCCTCAGGCGCCACGTGGAGGATCCCTGATCTATCCCACCCTCCTGATTCCGCAGGAACCGGCCAGATGTTTCCAAGAAGCTTC